AGGAATAAATTGTATGTTGGTGCCTTTGTGCACTTAAGGTGTTTTTAACACCGAGGGATAGGATTTTTGGCGCTTTATGCGTTTAAGGTGTCTTTGACACTGAGGTAAAATTTAAAAGGATTCAACAATAAATAATATGTGGTCACTAATTATTCAAGAACTTAAATTGGTATGTGTGTTGATTGAATAATTATTGTTGATTGACTTATTATGCTTTGAGAGTCATCACCAAGTCTAATAATAGGTAAATAACGTAAAGTGAAAGAGATTACGCACCAAAACTCTTGGAACGTATATACCTTGAGTATGAACAATGGGGGGTTATGGGGTTTTATATTTAACCATAACTTCTAATGGAGTACAGGACGCTGTATATTCCTTTTTTATTATTTATTATTATGCGCTTGAATTCCGCCACCTTTGTGTGGTTTGTCGCTGGCACGGTTAGCTCCCGTGCCAATTAACCTCAAATTTATTTGGGGGAGGTTAATAGGTGGAAACCCGTTCGATGCGTAATCAATGCAAAATGAATTAATTAGTGTCTAGTCATTGTGTCTTTTTGATTGGTGTGTATGCTTGTGAACAGGTGCAATGAGGTAAGTGAATGTTGATAGGTGAAAGCATATTAGTGTGGCTAATTTACGCTTATGTACTCAGCTTTGCTGATTGTGTGTGTGTTTGTGTATTTGGCCATGTCTTTATCTTAGCCCTATGATGACCCATTTTTAATAGAGAGTATTGGAAACAAGTAGAGATAAACTTTTCAGGTATTGAGGCATACTCATGATGGGGCACGAGTGAAGAGCGAATCATGCTAGTTTATATTAGTTACAATGTGTTTCTGCTTTAATTATTTATGCTAATATTTATATGCGGAGCTAATATCAAGTTTGGATTTGGGTTGGTTTTTAATAAGGGCCTTTAATGGTTCCAAGTTGTAGGTTGATTTTCATCTTACTTCGCTTATTTTGGTTTAAACTTTACTTTCGTTTGGTTAGCTTTTCAAGTTGGATTGTTTTGGAAAGGTTTTTAAAATTAGTCTTCCGCTGTGTATCTTTGATATTTGCCTTAACCGTTTTCACGGTGGCGGTAATTTCTTAGATATTCCTATTTAATGTTTATACAGGGCAAAACAGGTATTTTAAAATAAAGGAATTTCTAGGGTGTTACAACTAATAGCTTACCGGTTAATGGGAACCTTCTAATTAGAGGGTTGCACGCAGATGGAAGATGTGGTTATTGTGATAACCATTTGGAGGATACTAACCATCTCTTCCTGGAGTGTTCTATAGCAAGGTATGCCTGCGATAACTGTGGCATCCCGAGCTGTAAAAAACCAAATGGATCTACTCCGCTTAGAGAATTGATTCAAACCTATATCCTGTTGTTCTATAGTCAGGATGGAGTTCGTAGCAGCCGAACTCAAAAATTTGTTGCTACCCTCTGGTCACTGTGGATGACTCGCAACTAGAGGGTCTTTGAAGGTGATAATGGCTACCTTAGAGCCTTCTTCACTAACCTTATCCAAGCATTTGATCTGCTTAAGGCTTATCTAAAGCCGGACGTTAGGAGTCTTGGGACCTGTAGGGGCAGTCAAACGTCCGCTGTCATCAGAGTGGATGGATCCTGGCTCAAACAAACGGGAATCTATGGCACGGGATGGACCCTTTCCTCCTCGGATCAGGTGGAGATAGGGGCAGGAGGGGATACTGGACTAACATCTTCAACCTTTCATGCGAAAGCCTTTGCGTGCCTTTCAGCTTTAAAATGGGGCTCTGCCCATGGTCCGCACTCGGTTACTGTCTTCACAGATTCTACAGCCTTAGTTGAATCCCTTACATATGGGAAACAGACTAACATGGAGACATATTGGACGTTAAAGGAAATCCGCAAACTGGGTGCCTCTTTCGACTATTGTGTTATCTTAAAGGTTAATCGAGATGAAGTTAAGCAGGCTCACCAGCTGGCCAACCATTGCAGGATGCTGCGTATGCCTCTTTCTCTTCTTAGTAACTAGTTTGTTTTCTTTTTCATTTCTTCCTTTTATGTAATCTGCTATTGTAAAAAAAAAAATTGTGTATATTGGCTAACGATTGAATGCAAAGCTTACGGAAAATATTTCCTTCAGCAAATGCCGGAAATTCTAGTCAAAATGGTTAGAATGGTAGTGCTACTTAAAGCTTTTACAACTTTGTGGTAGTTATTTTTTTTAAAAAAATTAATAGGTAGTTGTTTTCAAAACACGTGAGGTAGTTGTTAACCAAATTTCCTTTCAACTATTATTACGGAATATATTTAGAAGCATTTTTTATTTCAAAGTTGAAAATAATGAGAAAAAAGCTATTTAAAGATAGTATGCTAAGAAAAATAAAGAATTATGAATATATATTGAAGTGAGACTGAAATATTGATATATATGTGAAATTTTTCTGTAAAGTATTCTTTTATTTTTATGTTTCCATAAAATAATGTTTTTGTAACACTTCTCATTTCCTTAACAAAACCAGAATTAATCAACTCATGGATGTATCCTAGCCTTTAATACTTTATTAAGCTTTATTTTAATATTGATTTTAAATCGTATGAAACTTTTTTTTTTTAACAAACGTATGAAACTAATTTTGATATTAGTTTAAATGAAAGTTTCTTTTCATCATCATTTTATTTAATAAATATTAACTTCAAATAATAAATATTGTGTTATGGCTTATGGCTATATGTACGGTCTTAAAATAAGTTTATTCTCTAACTATTAATAATTGTGTGCCTCCTTAGTTCTTAGTTTTATTTTTTTGTGTTTGTGTTCTAGAAACAAAATGCTACTGAGAGTGTTAGGGTATTTCAGGTATCAAGAGATCTTAGAGTCTAAGTCCAATTGTCCAAAAATCCTTAAGAAAGTCCATGAACTCCTTTCAAGAACGTCCAAGGGCTTGGCCTACAAGAAGGAGAAGGTTAAATTAGTTACCTTGGTGGTGTGACCCGGGAAAGCCCCTGCAATGCTTGAGTCAGTGAAACGTAATTTCAAAAGAGAGAAAATAGAGAGAACATTTTCGAGCGAGAGAAGGAGTGAGAATTACAAAAAGTTACCATAATTAATTATTTATGAGCTTTATAGATGTACTTTTAGGTGGTAAAATTGTAATTTAGTGGACACATTAGAGGTAAATCTGTATCTTGAGATGATTAAGGAAAGTGGGATGGACATGATGGAGTATTTTCGTCATTTCAACAATATTGGGCTTAGGACATAGAGCAGGCCCAAATAGTGTTGTTTGTTTTTTCTCTGTTCTTTGTTTTCTTTGGAATACAATTTCCTCTTCTAAATATTTTTTTTATTTTGTTTTATTTTTGAATGAGTAATCACCGACCATACAATATTTAGGCCCCGTTGTTTAAAGGTGCTTTGCTCTGCTCTACTCTGCTGAAATATGCTTTGCTCTGTTCTGCTCCTTGCTGAAATCTGCTTTGCTCTGATTTGCTGAAATCTGCTCTGCTCTGCTTTAATCTGCTCTGCACTTCCCTGCTCTGCTCTACTTAAAATTAATACTTAATATTGAATTATTATAATAATAATTAATATTTAATGATAATAATAAATATTTAATATTTAATAATAATAATTAATATTTTATAATAATAATAATAAATAATTAATATTTAATAATAATAAATAATTAATATTTAATAATAATAAATTATTAATATTAATAATAATAAATAATTAATATTTAATTATAATAATAATTAATACTTAATAATAATAATAAAAATAATTAATTATTGATATTTAATAAATAATAATAATAATAATAATAATAATAATAATTATTAATATTTAATAATAATAATAATCTTAAATTATTAATAATTAATAATAATAATAATTAATATTTAATAATAATAATAATCTTAAATTATTAATAATTAATAATAATAATAATTAATATTTAATAATAATAATAATAATAATAATAGTAATAATAATACTTATAACTAATAATATTAATTATAATAACAATAATTGATTTTTATAATAGAAAATAATATTAAGATAATAACTAATATTTAAAGATAATACTAAATATTAATTTTTAATAATAATAATAATTAAATAATATTTAATAATAATAATAATTAATATAATAATAACAATTAATAATATTTAACTTTTAAAATTTAATGATTATAATAATAATAATAAAGCGATAATATTAGTAGTAGTAGTAATAATAATAATAATAATAATAAATAATAATAAATAATGATAATATAATAATAAATAAATAAATAAATAAATAAATATTAATGATAATAATAATAATAATTAATATTTAATAATAATAATAATTAATATTTAATAATAATAATAATAATAGTAATAATAATAATAACAATAATAATAATAATAATAATAATAATAATAATAACAATAATAATAATAACAATAATAATAATAATAATAATAATAATAATAATAATAATAATAATAATAATAATAATGAAATCTACTCTGCCCTGCTCTGCTCGGCTCTGGTGAAATCTGCTCTGCTTTGCTCTGCTGAAATCTGCTCTGCTCTGCCCAGAAGCTCAAAAGAACAGGGCCTTATTGTACATTTGTACTGTTGTACATCCACTTTTCATCAAACACTAGTGTGTGGCTCGGACGATGCCCCGAGTTGCTAGTTTGTAATTAACGTTTGATTAATTTTTGCTTAATGTATTGAAAATCATCTTCAAAATTTAATATATTGAAAAATGATTTGTATTAGGAGAACCATATTTAATATTTGTAACAAAATTTAATACAAGTAGTTAAATTTTCCTATGATGAACAAATTGTACAATTAAGGACTAATCATCTTATTCAAGTTAATTATAATTTTATTGGGTAAATTTACACAATATATAGATAACTAAGGCGGTAAGACTTGCATCGTAATACTTGTTCGTCTCAAGTTACACCTAACTCATAAGTGTCCTACTATTTCCATAGATCTCGTGCCCCCGCCCCCTTGGGTTGTGGTGAAACGTGTCTGTCTACAAACAATGCAACCTCTGTGGTTCATCTTTCTAACCGCTGTGACTCAGGCTTCCGTAATAACAACTAGTTCTCTTCCTCCTAACTCTTCTCTTTTGCGCATTTCGTCGAACATCTTGTGGGCTCATCTCCGAAATCCTTAATTTATCATCCGTTTGATGCTTCCGAATTTCAGGAATAATCAATGAGGCATGCCGCCGCCATTCTCCGTTACCATCGACATGCACCGTTCCGTTCTAGAGGTATTGCCATTGTTTCTTGTTTGATCAACCTTTTTCTAATCGTCCAATTTGGTTATTTAATTCAATTGTTTTGGGTTTTCAATATTTGGGTTCTTCAAAGTAGACAATTTTTTCAACTGAGTTCAATTTTAATTTTTTTTTGGTTTATATGATTACTTATTGTAATGTTGCCAATATGCATGAATTGTAATTGCTCGCAGTTTCTGTGTAGTGTTTATCATTTTGGGCTTAACAATGTGTTGCTACTTGCTAGGGAATATAAACTCTATATGATCACTGTTATGGTGTTAACTCTTGTATGTAAGTTGTGTTGGGGTTTGATTATTGCCTTGCATTGGATTGGATATGTGAAAGGCAGCTTATAACCAAGCTTAATTTTCGCCTTGTCTCGTTTGTAAAAATACATTAGATCCCCAATCTCCAATTTCTTTTTTGCATTGCAGTATCACTTCTTAGTTCTTACCTTGAGCTGTTTTGTGTGTTAATTCTGTTTTTCTTTTTTTGGGTTACTGGTTACTTTAGTTCTTCCATTTGTAGCATGGAGGAGGACATGGCAGTGTTTATCATTGAGAGAATGGAACGGTCCGAGAGTGAATGAAGACCTTTGGTTTCCTTCCATTATACTGCAAAAATATTGGTGAGTAACTTGTTTATAAACTGTTTTACCACAAGCTTCACTATCCTAGTATCGTAGTGATTATGGAAGTATATTATGGTTCAATTTCTGGTTTCATTATTTTGCTCTCCGTCCACTGTGATTCTCAGTATCTGATTTCAGTCAGAAGTCAAAACATAAGTTATACAAGTACATCTGCTGATAAATATTAGTAGTGATATAATCCAGGGCCATCAGAGTAATCCTACTAGAGAAATGTGTCATGAGATAGGGGACTTAGAAGCAGTAAACTCATCTGAGGTTGTTAACTATTTGTGTTGAAAATTGACTGTTTATACCATAATATAATGGAGGGTCTGATGTTTCCCTGTTCAATATGAATTTTTTTCTTCAGTGAGGTATTTGAAAAGGATAAAGTTAACAGATGTTGAATTATGAATAGAGAGATGAGAAGAATAACATATAGCATTCTAACTTGTATTCAATCCACTGAAGTACATAGCAACATATGTATAGTGCATATCTAAGCTAAAAATAAAGAACATGATCCCATGATCATCATGCTTAACATTAACCCACTAAATCCACTACTATTATGAATCCACTAACACAAACTAATTACTTAGGAGTTAACTAATCACTAACAATTTGAAGTAAATATTCCAACAACAGATATTTGTGAATTCTGGAAGAAGGCAGGAATTTCTAATGAATTGGTGTCTGACATGCTTTTCTTATGGGAGTTTATATTTAGGAATTTTTTTTAGAATCACCTTTTGAACTCTTAGGGACAGAACCTTGTAACAATAATTTATTCAAAAAAAAAAAAAAAAAAAGGAACAGAACCTTGTAAACATCATGTTTTAGATGTCAGTAGACCGAAGAAACTCTTTACTAGATGTATGGCACGTACCAACTTGATTTTTAATAAGATATTCAATAATGCTTGATTAATTGATGATTACACCCTCTCCAGATTAAAAAAAAAAAACTCTCAGACCAATTTCCAATCCAAAACACAGAGGCACTATGCAATCAGTCAGCATATGCATGTACTTTCCCATACCGTACATTGTATGTTATCTAAGGGTGGGTACTTGATGCAGCTTTTCAACTAGTTTTAATAGCGTGCACGGTGAGAGGCCATCTGCTGAGTATGCAAGGCAGAGGAAGCAATCATTAGAGGAAGAATTTGGACACGTATTGGGGTCACACAGCTCCAAAAGTGTATCTGTAGTATATCGATTTGGACCATTCCTGGCATTATTCAGAGCAGCAGTTATCTCATACCATGTGTTAAAGTTGTCTGCATGGCAACTTTTTGTTCATGATATTCACAAACGTGCCACTAAGGTGAATTTTGTTATCTCTGTTCTACCTATTTTGAGCTTGTATTATTTCTACAAGATTGCTGTAGATCATGGGAGACATGCCATTAATTCTTGCATATTGTAGCTGCTAAATCTTTTTAAAATAAATTTATGCTAAAATAAATCAGGAGCAAAGACCATGATGCTTGAAAGCTAATATATACTCCGTATAATTTTATAAACAATCAAAGAGAGAATAATGCCAATTATGCTTTTGCAGTTTGCTTCAAAATCCAAAATGACAAAAGTCTCAGTTTATAGAATTTAAATGTTTGGTGGAATAAATTTTTACTAATCTTTAGTAAAGATTAGTGCCAAAGACAAAGAGCCAAAGGCATGCCTTTATTTATTTTTGGAAAATTTGCCATTTACAACCGCTAAAAGTATCCATTTAGCGGGTTACAACCATCAAAGTTTATTTTTGCAAATTACAACCAAAAAAGTCACCAAACAAAACTACAACCAAAATTCGATTTTCGGCCATTTTCAACGGAATATGATGTCACTACATCAATAAATGATTCCAAACTAGTATTGGCTGCTGGTTAATTTTTATACCAATAAATGATTAATGACGTAATATTGCAAAAACAGTGGCCGAAAATCGGATTTTGGTTGTAGTTTAAAACGTTTGGTGACTTTTTTGGTTGTATTTTGCAATAATAAACCTTGATGGTTGTAACTCGCAAAATGAGTACTTTTAGAGGTTGTAAATGACAAATCTTTCTTTATTTTTTAATTTTTCATTTTAAGTCTTTCTTTATTTTTTAATTTCCTTATAATTCTAACCTGTTTTTTCTGTAATGTTTGATGTATTTGATAACTCCTTTTGGAGACTAAAGAGTTTTATGCAGTTTTATACTATATGAGGTCCAACCTTCTAATGTTTGTTACAAATGTCTTATTTAATTATTTCATCTATGATATTTTTCTTTGAAGTATCTTTGGGACAATGCACATTTGCACCGGTATCCTGATACATTTGCAATTTTATGCAGTTTTGCGAAACTCTGATCCAACTGGGGCCATTTTATATCAAGGCAAGTTTAGTTTACCCTGCTGCTTTAGCATAGGATGTTCATACTTGCCCCTTTTTTTTTTTTGGAGAAAAATGGATCATATAAATATTATTATGCAAACTTTTTCTATGCAGTCATTATGATTGTGAGTTTGCAGTATTATTTTCATGCTTATTATCTCCATACCTTAATGTTTCTTATGTTTTCACTTTGAGTTCTAAATTTCCCAAAGAAGAAAGAGATGGCCTTTATCAGCTGTTGGGATACCATCATCTTCTTCTATATCCGAAAATATTCTGATGTTCTGGATATCTGCTTTAACTGACATACAACTTGTTGAATGCAAGATACATGTAAAAGAAGAGATTCTAAAAGTTTTGCTTTTGCCCGTGGAAAATTCGTCGTTTTAACGCATGTTTCCGACATGGATGAGCGACATTACACATGCTGTTACTTTTTCTTTCATGTAATTTTCAGAATAGCTATATATTGTACATAGTTTGAGGCTACTCTTAAAAATTTCAAATGGTACATAGTTTGAGGCTACTCTTAAAAATTTCAAATGGAATTCTAGACTTCACTTCCAAAGCATGCAGAGGATGAAGAGGGGAGGATAGATATGGAGTTCATGTGTTTCAAAAGAACACATGGAGCTTAAAATAGGTAAAGCGCTTGAGTTGACTAAGAAAATAACTAATATGCAAACTGTAGATATTGATTAACAATTTTTAACTCCACCATGGTGGAATATTTCTTAGGTTTTGATGAGTTTTGATGGTTACCATTTTGGGATCGACTTTATTTGCACTGCAGAGTTTATTCTTGAGGCTGATATTGTATTTTGCACTCATAGATAAGCAATTTGTGGCTTTGGGGAAAAGGCATATGCCAATTAAGTTTTTAGAGCCCAAATAGAGCTTTTATTATTTTTATCATAGGTTTCATCTCATTACTCACCAACTGCTTTAATGTTGTAACTTTTCCATCTATATCTTTGAACAAATATAGTGACATCTCCAGTTGTTCATCATCTAAGACTTCTGCCTTCCTCTACTTCTTGAATATGATATGCTTTATTTAATCGTGGCCTCAACTGCAGTGACAACAGTATATAAAATTAGATAACAATCATTGATACTGTAAATTGTTCTTGTTTCACAGGGAAATTTCTGTAGAACTACTTCCACTGGTGTTTGTGTGAGTGTTTAGGTAGGAATCATAATAATATAATTTTTTCTAAAGCAAAGACTAGGTTTGGCTATCTTGTTTGATGTCCGTATGCTTGGTGATTGCTGCTCATGTGATTTTCTACACTGTCACGTGACAAACTTTGTTTGGGAGGTTGTTTTCTAGGCATAGTTGTAAAATTTCCCTTTTGCTGTTTTGGATTCGTTTCCTAAACCATATGTGAGGTTTTTAGTGGGCAAGGGGAAGAAGATGTTGTGATGCAATGCCTTTGTGGGAATCTTGTGATGTGTGTGGGTTAGAATAAATTTGTGGTTCTACGAGAGTCAACCTATTAAGTGTGTCTATATGGAATATGTTGTAATCAACTGTCCTTGTGGGCTTAAAAAACTGGGGCTTTCAAGTTCTATTCAATTGAAAAGATTCAAACTCAAAGAAATGAAATCATTGTTTAGCCACTTGTTTGTGTTAGAGGGACAACTATTTCTTGTATTTTGTTACACACACACTCATTTAAGGATTCAAATTTGATAAGAATAATTGTTCAAAAGAAGTAGAAAGATAAGTAATACTAACAACTTCTCTTCTTCTTCTTCTTGAATGCCTTAATCCCATAAGTGGGGTCAGCTACATGAATCAACATGAGGACTTCCCATAAGGTCACCCATTTTAGTACTACTCTCAATCATTGTGGCTCATGTCAAGTGATGTGACAAAATTTTACACTTGCTGTCACTTGCCTACCGTAACCCTCCTCCTTTATCCGGGGGACTAGTAGTGGGAAACCCACTAGCGGAGTTCAATACTGGCAACCGCTTTTAAAACGGAGGATTGTGTGATGAATTATTGCGTGTTTCGAAATTTGAAGTAGCAATAGTGGTAGTAATTTCACTGCAATCTGTTGCTAATATATGTTTTGGAAGTTTTTTTAATTTCTTTTTTCTTTATTACTGTTATAGCACATGCTAGTTGCTTTTGTCATCAGAAAATTGTGAAGAATACTCTATCGATGTCAATTTGTTGTTCATTTGTGCAACCCTTGCTGGGATTAGAACATTAGAATGAAGAAAGGATTTGACTGTACTTTGAAATAAGATGTTTGACAATGCTGCAGAAGTTTTGAGAGTTGTAATACCAAAAATGTCAGGATTTGTTGAGTCGTTTTGCTGGAAGTTAGTTTAAAAAATTTTGATGATTTGAAAGTAAAGTGTATTACTTCGTATAGTTTTCCTAGGCCAATTATTTCATACGATACTACGGTTGCATATGTTTGGAGCTCCTCAATTTGGGTATGTACTTGATCATTTTGACGTTGTACTTATAGTGTTGCATTGGTGGCACACGGGCACCCTCAAATTGTTGAGAACTTACACTTCATAAGATTTTGTGGACCAGGTTGGAGCTAAATGCCTCCAAGGGGGGGGGGGTTAGAAGTAGTTGTAAAAATGGTACCTTTTTTTTTCCCTTTCTTTCTTTTCCGATATTTAGCCATGTGTAAGATCGGTGTACAAACCAATCCAAAGAAGCAAATGAATTGTCTCTCAGTTCTTATTTAATGCAGGCCATGAGAGGCTGGAGTATTGTTACCTTATTCATTGGCATAGAGAGATTAATTGATGTTGGACCATGTACCAAATATTTGTTGACCGACAAACCATTTGATTGTAAATGACTGGTAGCGGATATTCAAATGAGGTTTTTTTTTTTTTTTTTTTTTTTTTTATCTTATGTAATTTGAGGATAAACAATTATTAAACTCTTTGCTCTTGGAAACAAATAGTTATGCCAGATAATTTGCCTCTAAACTTAGACTAGCTAGGGATGAAGATGTGTGTTATGTTAGCTTGTTATCGTCTTTGTTTTAATACTCTACTGCTATCTAATTTCTTTGTATCTACAGCTTGGGCAGGCATTGAGCACTAGACCTGATATATTACCGACCATATACTGCCAAGAGCTTTCAAAACTCCAGGTTTAGGCTCTCTTCTGCTCTGTGAACCTCGTATGTTGTGATATTACCTTAGTGATAATCATCGAAATAATTATTGTTCCTAATTTCTCCAGGATCAAATACCTCCTTTTCCAACTTCTGTTGCCATGAGATCCATTGAAACCCAGTTGGGTGCTCCTGTGTCAGAAATCTTTGCTGACATCAGCCCAGAGCCTATTGCTTCTGCTTCTCTGGGGCAGGTTTATAAAGGTGAGAAATTTCTGCTAGTGATGAGATTGATTGTCAATGTTATTTTAGCAAATATGTTTCCTTTTCATCTCTTTAATGAGTATGCTGTTACTAGAGAAAGCCTTTATGTTATGCATGATTTTAATCCCAATATATTTGTCGATGATTCAAGTGATGCAGCTCATTTGCATTCCGGAGAGCTGGTAGCTGTCAAGGTGCAGAGGCCTGGTATGTCATTGTCATTGACTCTTGACGCATTATTGTTTCACATGATAGGCGGGCAATTAAAACGTTTTGCCAAGGCTCGCAAGGATTTGTTAGTTGCAGTGAACGAGATGGTGAGAGAATAATTTATTAGGTTAATATTTTTTTTTTTTTGCAAGTCTGTGATTTTGGGGCTGTAACAATTCATATGATATGTGGATTATTTCTTGAACAAACTAAAATCTTAAGTTGTAACTTCTGGCCTATTCTTTTCCGCTATGTGTTTGGTCTTGGAGTAACTCTAGAATGTATACAGGTTTCTGGGCTAGAGTTTCTATCACCTTATTCTGTATGCCCATTTTTTGATATGTTATTGGTCTTGGAGAACTCTGAATTTAGTCAGGATTCTTTGTGTATAAATTAGCACCTAATTTTTTTTAGTCCATTTTTTGGTAAATGGTTGGTCTTGGAGAAAGTATTGAATCTGTTCAGGTTTTTGTCAGGATTTTTTTTTGGCATACAATGTTTTAAACCTGTATGTACCTTAGACTGGAGTTTTCAGTCACTTGGTATACAATGGTAGTGGAATAGATGGTATTGACCTTTTGATTTTAATAAAGGAAAATAACCATTATTAGAGTGGAAGATGGGATTATTGGAAGGAATGATGTACTCAAAATGAAAACCAGAAATACAAATAACATAAATAAATCAAAATATATAGAGAATTCTAATGGAAGTACATATTTTCCCTTTTCCTTTGAGAATTGATACTTCCTTTTGTGTGGCCTACTAGCCTCAATCAGAAATTCTGAACAGGGATAATGCCTCTTGCGCCCTCAACTAGCTCCTTGGTGTCTTCAAAGTGCATGCAAATCTCTTTATTTTTGCTCGCATCTATGTTGTTTCAGACTCTTAGAACAGCTGAGTGCTTTGTAATCATTGAGAGGAATTTCAGTGTGTGATTCCAATATGCCTGATTTCTAGTGTCCACATATTTAGTAATCTTGGCTTCATCAAGACCTCAAACTAACTAATCCTTCCTGCTTAAAAGAACTAGTTTCGTCCAGTGCTATTGTCTTCAGAAAGTCTTTCCTTTTATTATTCGAGATAACTCTATGAAACTTGTCGCATTGATGCAACCAAAGATATTGTATAGTCATTGGTACTGTGGTGGCGTGGTGAGACGTATCATAAGCATTTTGCTAATATGTGTTTTCATTATCCCTTGAACCTGATGAATTTTCTTTTGGCTGTAACCATAGAGTTCAGGATTTATGTTTGTCACAGTGAAATCCCTACATGTGGCAGCATACAATTGTGCTTGCTTGATGCACTTCATGGGTAGATTGATGTGTATTCAGGAACTTGATGGATATTAGGCATTTACATGCCTAGTGCATTATGTAGCACATGTCTAGATGCTGCCTCTTTCATAGATAAACCTGCCTGTTGCTTGATCCTATCCCTTGAATTGTCTTCCACATACCACCTTGTATATTTGACTTTACCCTGGCTTTACTACCCAATTTTTGATTAGATATTTATATAAATTATAATCGTTAGCCTAGTGGTGAGATTTTTGGTATCTTATCTGTTTTCATGTCTGGTTGTTGCCTATACAATACCTCCTTGAAGACAGGTCTCCATGTGAAGGACCAAAGGCTGGTACTGCCACTGATCCTTTTTTTTTTTCTTTTTCTTGGTGTAGAGACTAGAGAGAGCTGCAAGAGAAAATGATTTAGATGGGATTTGATCCTAGGTCTTGAGTACTACACTACTACCCCTCAAGACTTTAATCAATTGCTACTGATCTATGAATCAGAAGTAATTCCGTTGGAAATCTTAATCATAAGTGATCTCGACTTAGTTATGAGTTATGATCTTTGCTCATTTTAGAGCCATTTAAAAACCCTCCTCATATATCTGTGGATATGGCTATGCGGATGTGGAATTTAGGTTGTTGCTCTCTTCAGCATGTCATATTCACTAATATGGCTAATAGTCAACATTTTGACAATTTTTGCGTTGATGCTGACAGAACTTTTATCCAATTAGTTTCCATAAAGAATAGATTTGAAGTTTTACCGTCAAACTGAGTGTTCATGGATTAAAGAAAGAGGAGAATATAGGAGATGTAGAAGGTGGAGACAAAATGTGTATGGTAATTTGTTTGAATATCATGTTAGGTAGGGATTAATTGTTACAGCAACATCTTACAGCAAGTTTTATTGTTACTTTCATTAATTCCTGGAATTAATATGAGAAATGTATACTGCTTCCTCTATACCCTTACATCCATCAACATATAATTCAGTCATCATGAGAATTATGTTAGTCTTTTTTTTATTCCTATTTCATGTAGAACAAACCTAATGTTTAACGTAATTTATGTCAAGTCTGATGCTTGCTGTGACAATTGCCTCTGGTACTAGTCCATTATATAGAAGGGCTTTCCTTCTTTTGATTTTTGAGCCTAGTTGAGTCCATATATTTTCTATTATTAGATTATTCATTTTCAGATATCTTCCCTATGTTTCACAGCCGTAGATGCCCCGGTTGAGGATTCTATGTGCAAGGTCCTAATAATTGTGTCTTTTCATGGTCGGATAGGTCAGGCACATGTTTGAAGAGATAGATTACATCTTAGAAGGAGAAAATGCAGAGCGGTTTGCTTCTTTGTACGCTTCTCATCCTGGTAATTCCAACATTTGGTTTTTTAAAATTTGTTTTGTTTTGTTTAAAAAGGTAACATGTGCACAATTGTAAAGACTCTTGTGACTAGTAATATAATCAAAGGTGGTAGAATTTGGGCTTCATGTATAGTGCCAAAACTCATGAAGGATTTTCATTTTTATGATTATATGGAAGAGTGGAAGGTGTCCAGATTGTTGTTTGTTCATTGTGGATATGGTCTTTTTTGTCTTTTGGATAATGATCCTGGTAAAGAGCTCATTATAAACTTCATGCTACAATTGCTTGGTGTATTTTTTATTTTATTTTATTTGCCTGCTCAATAATATTTGGATTTCTATTTGTCTGTTTCTGGGATTGTACTTGTGTTTTCTTCAGAGTTGTCAAAAGGATAACTATCCACTATAATTTGAAACGCATTGTTTAGAGGATTTTGGTACCTATCCTATTAGGCCTCTTATAATGAATTATCCATTTTGGGAAAAAAGGGATGAGAAAACTGAAAGTTGATATGCACCAGCTATCGCAACATTTTGTTCATATTTAGTAAAGTGGCAACAGTATATAGAGTTTATATGGCAGCATCAATGTTCTTAATTCATATAGTCTCATGGTCCTGTATGGTACCTTCTAAGACCCATGACTTGGTAGGAGATCTTGCAAGAGTTGCAACCATCACTATCTTGCTTGGATTAATTCATATTGTACCTGAAGTAAAGAAAATTTGCAAAGGTTTACTAGTTGTCTTATTTTGTTGAAAATAGGTTAAGTAGCTCTGAAGACAGATTGGGTCTTCTAGTTTGAGGGATCAAAACCTGTTACGCATATTCTTACTTTGGAAAAATTGACACTATATCTCCCATGTTTGTGATGTCTTCCCACATCAATCCCAAGTAAAATTTATTTGCTAATAATCCTAAATTCGGAGGTAGTTTTCTCATGATGGTTCAGCTGACTTGTTACCTTTTACAAGGATTAAATATGCTAAGTGGCTCACTATTTTTCTTTATCTATGTTTTTTCTTTCTTTTTTCAAGTCCTTAGTTCACTTCTTGTCAGTCTCCTCCTCATCCCAACTTTACTACCATCACCACCACATGACACCTTAACTGCACTGTCATATATGCCAGCAACCAGCATTTATCAGGCCCATTTGACAAGTACCACCACCTCCAAGTGCCCTTGCCACATTCACCATCACCTCCTAGCTCTGGCCATGCATAGCCACATTGCTTCCTGTTCTCAACAATCTGCTGAAGCTCAGCCCCTTTCCCTTCTATTTCTGTAAAGCCCAGCTCCCTCACTGCCCCTTTTCAACCTTTGCTTGTCCTTGGCCTGCTGCCCCCTCTCCACCAATATTATTATCTCCAAACCCCCATCATCTCCTCCTCCCCCCAACCCCCCAAGAAAAGGAAAAGAAAATAAAAGGATTCCACCATCATGACAGTCTCACTATCGTGTATCACTGAATATACCCCACACAACTTAAGTCACTTCACTTCACCTCAATAGCTGCACCTCACTGCTTCCCACAAATTAAACTAAGACCACCTTGACATTTAGAGGATTTGAGAAAGAGACGAAGATAATAAGTTAGATATACTTGTTTCATTAGTATATAACTTTCAATGGTCGAGTTTGACCATGAAAGTATGCATAATGTGTTGACAAGGTGGCTAGGATGGCGGAGTCATTGCAGCTATTATACAATTTTTTCCAGCAGTTTGATAGTGGTGCTTCAGAGAGAGATGGAAATGAGAGAAGGGGGACATGGTCGTAAGGCATCACTGTAACTCTATAAGTATCAATAGGAAGGGAACATACAGGGTATATCTCAGGACTAGGGAGGGGCAGAATGCTAACATGAAGATTGAATGAGGGAAGAAGAATAGAATGAAAAGTTTTTTGCCCTTAGAGGCAGCGTTTCCTAGATTCTTCTAAATTTCATCCACATCATTGGAAAAGTCTAAAAGGTATGTAGACAAACCCAAGTACTTACATGCAAGAATGTAGTGACACTTGATAGTTGACACTTTAGAAAGATATGTGATCAATTTTTAACATTGACTTGGCAAAGAACTCTGTAAATAATTTTATCTGGTGAAATATTCAACCATGATCTTTATTGATAGAGTGTGTCGTTATTCAATTGAATTAATCTTCCAGATGGTGTACACAGAGATTCCTTAGTTACTTTAGCCTTCCAAATGAAATGATTACAGGAAAAGGGGGCTGCTCTTGTGGCAAGGTTATATGACTCAGAATAGATTCGTATGAAAAGTATCACCAACCCACATCCTAAAAATTTCAATTTAGACAAATGGAATTCCCATAACCTCAATTATAAAAGTATGCATCTCCATATTAATATGGCAAATGGCCTTCATTACTTTAGCCAGAGGAGAATTGAGAATTTTTAGCTGCAGGGTCAGCGCTCGTCACTTTATGTGACTTACACTTGTGTAACGTGTCATGCTTCCTTTGGAAGCCCTATATTTTGCTATTGATATAAAAATCCTGTTCAGATGGATTATAAATGACTATATTTTGTGCAATATTTTTATCATTCTATTTCGCTGTTGCTCTGAAGTGGTCTGTATATGTAGTTGGATTTTACCAATCTATTCTTGAAAGTCAATTTCCATTGGCCTCCTGCTCATTGTCCTCATTTAAGACCTGACAAGCCTGTGCTGTATTAATTTTGCGCATGAGTGATTTACTACTATTGGTTGGCCGTAGTCTTTGTAGTTTTTCTTGCACACTCTTTATCCTGCGTCCAATCTATGTTTGTTTGCATGTCTGATAAAATCACCTTTATAAGAAGTGATAATATTTTCATCTCTCCTATACACTCTTTTTGGCTCTCTAAATCAGTCTCTCTACCACTTATTTCTGAGTAAAAGTATGATTTGATTGAAAGGTGATGATAGTCTTGCAAAGAAGTTTGATGCTACAACCGGGAATCCTCAAACAAATAGAGGTCAAGGCCTTATAAGAGTTCCTAAAATTTATTGGAAGTACACTCGTAAAGCTGTGCTGACATTGGAATGGATAAATGGAATCAAGCTTACAAATGAGGAAGCATTAGCAAAGCTCCAGTTGCCACGCAAGGAGCTTGTTGACCAGGTATAGGCCAAATTTGAAGCTTGAAACATTAACTGCATCATCCATAGTTATCCTATCTGGAGTTAGCAACCCATTACCATTTAAAAAAAAAAAAAAATCTTTAGAGCTTTTAATCACTCATTTTAGTGTATGTCAAATGAAGTGTTCAGATGCCTTCTAATGTACTTTATCCGTTATCTTTCATATATGCATTTGCTATTTGCACAAATATTAAGAAAATGGGTGGTTGTAAGATAAAAGGGGTTAAAGTAAGAGTGTTAAAAGGTGGTTGAGTGTAAGATAAAGGTGGAAATATTGTGAAGTAAGTGGGTTAATGTACTTCCTCCGTTAAATGTTGATTGCAACAAAGGGGGTGTGCGCGGAACCCAATGTGAAATTTCTTAAGCATGATTATTGAAAATTAAGGGCAAGTACTTAAGTATTAAACCAACAAAAAAAATCTACCACGATTAAATAGAACCACCCAGCCCGTGCCACCGAGAACCATCCAACCTTCCCACGAACCCTGAACCCACAAACCACCCACCAAACTCACGAACAACCACCAACAAACCTCCACCACCAAACCCACAAACCACCAGTCCACCACCACCTACGAACCACCACCACCAAACCCACAAACCACCACCGCTAAACCCACAAAACCCACAAACCACCTCCACCAACGAATCAACACCAATAAACCCACAACACAGAACCACCCACGAACCACCACCACCAAACCCCCAACAACCCACCCCCACGAACCACCCAGCAAACCACCACCCACGAATCACTCGCGCAACCCCCACAAACCAGATCTGAAATTGAAAAACTAAAAGGTGGTCTTCTTCAATTCATGAGAATGGGTTGAAGCCTTGAAGGAGGAGAGAGAAATATAATGAGGGAAATGAAAGATGAAGGAAAGAGAAAGATAATGGGGAGATGAATCTGATTTTTGATGGATGAGATAATTAAGTTAAATTAGGGTTATAATGATTTGTGATTATTTGCAGTATTATGTGTTAATAATTTTTTAACTGAGGGTATTTTGGTCATTTTGATATAAAAACTTGTTAAATAAGGAAAGAATTTTTTTTGTTGCAATTAATACTGAGCATCCAAATATAGTAATTGTTGCTATTAATATTTAATGGAGGAAGTATTAAAATGAATTTGTAAAAAATAGAATAAAGTGAAAGTATTATGAGCTTATAAAGATAGACTGAAATGGAAAGTGCTATGATTATTAAAAACAGAGGTAACATTATTTATTTAAAAGAGTGTTTGGATAATAAGAATGAATTTATATAGAATTGTGGTGTCCTGTATGCAGTGATGCCTTAATAAATTAAGGATCCAGACAACAAAAATGGAACCAAGATCATGTCTTAGGTGCCAGTTTTGTTTTTCTTTGATTGATACATTGTGCTTGGCATGCTCTTTTACCACTATTCTCTGCTGGATAACTGATTGTTTGCCGATAGCTTCCTTTTCTTTTTTTTTTTTTTTTTTCCCTACTTAGTACATTATTAGAAGTTTCTCTTATCTACGAAAAAGAATGAGATGGTTGATACTTAGAAATTCTCTTACTATTGCAACATTTGGGTTTACACTGTGTTCATGCAATACTACTTTGATTTTATATGGTGATTTTTACGTAAGGAAAATATAGTCATATTAGCTCTTGTTAGATTTGTCCTTATTCTTTCAAATCAATCAATCAATCAAAGCCTTAATCCCATAAGTGGGGTAGGCTACATGATATTTAATAATATTGATGGTAAAATTTGTGTTTTGCCAAGTGTGCATTTTCATTTGTTGCAATAGATAAAGAACGGAGGAAGTGATAACGAGTTATAGACTGACATTAATATATTATGGGTGATTATGTATTAATTCGAAAAGGATTGATGTTTGCATAACTTGGGGCTTTATACAGGGTGTTTATTTGTCCCTCTAAAAACACCCCTCTTATTCATTGTTGCCTTATATTCATTCCAATTATTTTTGCTTCTTTGCAGGGACTGTACTGCTCTTTGAGACAACTGCTTGAGGTGGGGTTTTTCCATGCTGATCCTCATCCTGGAAATCTGGTTGCTACGGATGATGGATCTCTAGCCTATTTTGACTTTGGGATGATGGGAAATATTCCACGTCATTATCGTGTTGGCCTCATTCAAGTGGTATGAATCCAATATTCTTCCTTAAGTAGCTATATAACCTCAAAGATACGAACCATTGTACAGATTTTGATATGAATTGCTGGAAATTGATGTTGGTGATAACAAAAATTTTGATGGAAATATGTGTGGCATACACAAAATAAAGCTGATTTTCTGTGTTGGTGATGGTGGTGGTCTGCGAATTGGATGTGCCACAGCAAAAAAACTTAAATATCAATGCAATATAATCTGTTTTGTTAGGAGATCCTGCGACCAGCGTCTTTCATAATCCGTTTTCCTGTCAAATCATTTGTAAAGAGGTTCTTTCTAAAAGACTATATGATGACATTTTGACATAATTGTGAAGTTGTGAAGAAAAGAAATTTTTAGAGCTAGAATGGAAAGAAAGGCAGCTGAGATCAGTTTAGAACTGAATACCACTATTTGAAATTTATGGTGTAAACACATGCAGGAGGGAGGTACTGCTTAAAAGCCTGTATTCATGAGTTAGAAGGGGCTTCTTCCTTTTTGGGATTCTGTAACATGAATCCTTATAAAGGCGCCAAAGTTTCAGATGTTTTTCTTGTTCACTTCTCCTTGATTCATTTATAGAACTATTTATTCTTCTTGTTATGCTGATATTGATGTAGTTTGATATGAGCTAAAGAAAGAGGCTAGCTAGCTAATTACTTAGAGTGATCCTTCTGATACATTTGTCTATTTAACAATTAATAACTCTCTGCTTCTTTAATGTTTCTGACCTCTTTCTTTTCTCCAAATGCTATTACTATATCGTGTTTTTGCCTCACTTTGTTAAACCCTCTTCTTTTACTGTTTTCTTACACTTATTTTCTCCTTCAGTTGATAAATAAAATTGTGATTTACTATCCTGGCGGGCCTTGTGTACTTGTTGACCTTAGCAAACTCAGTGTGTGTGTCTGTGTGTGCTTGTGTTCTTGGGGGTGGGGGGGGGGGGGGGTGGGGTGGGGTTGGGGGGTGGGGGGTGGGGGGGGGTGGGAGATTGTGGAAGTGGAGTGCTGGGAGTCAATTGAGGGACGTAGGACTTGAATTTGTGATCTTAGCCATTGTAGATTTTCTCTTTACAATGTTGTTTTCTCATGGAAAAATTTTCTTCACTCCTTGTCAGGTCTACACCTTAAGATGCTTAGAGCATAGATCATCTTTAGTTGTCTAATTTCACTGAACATTATCTGCTTGCCTTGTTGTAGATATTAACTTTGATTTAGAATTGCTTTTGCATTTGTGGTATAGCAAGTGGTATATCTGCCTAGGCTGATCTGGTTCTCTTCTATTGTACACTTTTTGCTGCTTCGTCATTCCAGAATCTCTTTAATCAAATTCAACCCCTATGGGTTAACACCCTTCCATTAACACAAACACTTATCTTCTATCTTTCCCCTGTTTCTATGAGGGGAAGGGGATTGGGTGTTGGGGGGGGGGGGGATAGGATGTTCTATTTGTTTGTATCATGGTGGAAGATATTGTGGCCTAAAGACGAAAGCTCATATTTTTACAAGTGGGATCATGTTCCTGTGTTGCAAACTCTGTAGCAACAAAGGCATTACCTTTTAACAATTTCTGAGCCTAATAGACACTGATGGCCATGTTGTACAGCTGCTGGCATAAGTTACACATCTTAATTAAGGTAGAGCTTAGAGCCAATAGTGGTAAGGCTGCATGTGACTTTGCTTGACCCTGGTGTTAACTAGATGAAATCCATACTGGAAATAGTTTCTGGCTATTGCTGCTGTTAGTTTCTGTCCTGTGCAAAATACTAAATTGGCTTACATATCTTGTGCCCTTTTTCTTATTCTTTCAGTTTCTATTATTTCGGGGATTATGGAGGGGTGATAGTATGATTTTTTTTCCTGACTGAATATGTTTATTTTTTGCAGCTTGTGCACTTTGTTAATCGTGACTCACTGGGTTTAGTAAATGACTTTCTATCCCTCGGATTTCTCCCTGAAGGTGTTGATATCCTGTTGGTTTCTAATGCCTTACAAACATCCTTTGGTGATGGGACCAGGCAATCTCGAGATTTTCAGGTCAGTTGTGATAATCACATTTTAAGGTGACTAATAGATTATATGGAAATAGATGTTGTGAGAGTTTATGTTGTAATGTGGTTGTCATTGTGAAAATGCTGCATGTTATCTTCTCTTTGTTTGTCTCATAGAAAAATGTATGAAGTCCCACAATTATTTCCATATTTAATCTATAAGCTTCATCAAATGTGGCTTCAACAAACAAATGAGGTACTTTTTGTTTTTTTGTTTTTTCTTTGAAGATTTTCATTTTTCAACTGAGGCATCATATATCTAAGTGCTTGCTGTGAAGTTGGGGTTGAGTTTCATTTGAATGATTAAAGAATTTTGTTTCTTGTAATTTTACATAGTAAAGAACCCTTGAGGTAGACAGTCTTAATTTTTAAGCAAATGGAACTTTGGAAGTACTCCTTCCATTCCTGGTTTGACTCTTTTTGTCTCAATCAATCAATCAATAAATCAAAGCCTTAATCCCAAAAGTGGGGTCGGCTAACATGAACCAAATTTGTCTCTCAAATAAATTTCAACTAGAAAGAACATTTTTGTGCAGAGTACTAAAGATCATTTCTATATTAGTACTAATACGAAACAGCAAATGGACCCTTGCAGTGAATGAGGAATATGACAATTTTCTCAGGTTTAGCATATAAGCCATCTCCATTTTCTAGTGTTAAATAATGGACAGAGAATTTTATATATGGATGATTCCTTCAGACTTGTTTCTGTGTTAGTAGGTTTTCCATGGCTTCTTTTGTGTTGGGAACCTCGCACTTACTTTAGTAGAATATATGTCATTTGGTGTATATGTTTCCCTTATGAGTAGAGAAAGTATTAGTAGTGTGAGGAGTCTGATGCGTCTCTACATTACAATGTGGAAATTGATGTATATGTAAAAACAATCCTCTTTTTCTTGTTTTCTTCTAGGTCTAAGTTCAAATTCATAACTTCGCGGATAGAAGTAGTATTTTTCCCCACACTATAGCAGAAATGCTTGAATTGTAGCCATTGCATCCAGTTTTTAAATGTTTCTCTTTACTCTTCTCTGTAGGTTCAATTTTAACATATTTATAATCTGCATTTAGTTTTTAAATGTTACTTTATCTTTAGTCTTCTCTGTAGGTTGTATATAACATAATACAATCAAATTTAGACTAAAAATGTTACTTCCTTGTTTAGTAGTTTGGTATCATTATTTAATTTTTTGGACATTTAACTTTGCCTTTTCTAGTTAAATATTTGAGGAATATTTCTAAAAGAACATATCTTTACAAGCTTGAACTTAGGACCTAACTGGCTTAGGTCTTCCCTTTCACATCTAATGTTTCTTAGTCTATAGATAACAAATATGTCCCTTTAATTTTTATTGCAGAGCATAATGAACCAGCTATATGATGTGATGTATGAGTTCAACTTCTCTCTCCCTCCTGATTATGCTTTAGTGATAAGAGCACTGGGATCCCTGGAGGGGACAGCTAAAGCTTTGGACCCGGATTTCAAAGTAGTTGAAAGTGCATACCCATATGTTATTGGGAGGCTTTTGGCAGATCCAAGTCGTGATATGAGGAAAATACTGAGGGAACTGGTTATTCGTAATGATGGGTCAATAAGGTGGAACCGTCTTGAACGTCTGGTATGGTATCTAATTATAACATTGCAATTGATTAGTTATGCATAAATAATTATTTTAGTATCTTATGGGGTCTTCTTTAGCTAGCGTCTTTGTTGGCTTTTTATATATTTAAATTTGCTTTATGTATTATCTCAATTCTGTCATATATGTGATATATCTCATCTTGTAGCATTTAATGTCAGGGTAGTATATGTCCGCTGCCTGCCTTTTGTAATCTATAGCTATTAATTGCCTTGTGGTTTATGCTTGATATTAGGTTGGAATGGATTTAAACATTTCAAATTCATACCACTTTTTGGTTGAAAATTCAGGTTAAAATGATACTGGCGGAGCCATGTTGAGAAAACCTAAGGCATAATTATTTCATACCAGTGAGTCTAGTGGAATTTCCCTAACCCACACCCTTGAAATGAAGAAGTAAAGATGGGGATTCTCTCCCCAACTTCCCCATCTTCTTCATCAACACCCATACCCACCATCTCCATTTTTATCACTATTACTACCTCACAGCAACCAGTCACCCAAAAATGAGTACACTAATTCCTGAACTGTCACTCTGTCAGCATCTTTGTGCTTGCTTGTTTCTATTTAGGTCATGGCCTCATGGGCATGAGTTGAGTATATCCAGTGGTTGCAATATGTAAGTGCTTACAGTTAGATGCTGGTATTACTGTCTACATTTAGAACAAATGTTGTTATCGATAAAGCTATCAGATATTACAAAATAATGTAGTCTTATTATAACTACTGAATTTACAATTTTTGTCAATACAATGAGAAACCTATCAACCAACTCAACGGTTCAAGTTCTTGTGCAATTTATTATTTTTAACTAAAAAGTTTATAACACAATCTGATGATTTATTTGCACAAGATATTTGGACCAAACTAGTAGGCGTCTTAGTAGTGAGTAGTGACATCAACAAAGGGCCTATTCTCCTCAGCTTATTTTTGCTGAAAAGCTTTTATTACTGGAAAAGGCAGTAATGATTGTGATTATGGCAGCATTCAAGTATTGTGGAAGCATAATGTATTGGGATGTTGCAGAAAGAGTTACGGGTGACGTCCTTGATGTAGCATGATTTCACTTTGGTCATATCAGTTTATTATTGCCCTCTATCGCCTTTGGGATGTATCGACCAATATGTAAAAGTTCTTTATAGTTTACACTGTAAATGCTGTTTTGGCAAGTTGGAAAACCAATTCGAAGTACATATTAGCTGAACATCACATATCAGATAAATTTTAAAACCAAATTATAATCTCCAAAGCATAAGTTGGAATATGGTTGTTGTGCTACATTCATGCACTATCATAGACAGGGTTGATGCTAGCCTCTTCTTGTTTTCCTTACAGATACTGGATTTTGCTTTTGAGCAGTCCTTTAGCTATGTGCACTTGCTTTTATGCTTTATGCATGTGAGGAGTCATTTTGCTTTGTGCATGTGCACTTGAAAGAACATATGCTTGCTATATTTATTGGCTTGTGGTTTGATTTATGTGGTTTCCTAGTATTATTTCCTAATTTTTCTTTAGATTACTAATATTTGCAATGTCTTTAAATGGCTGTTAGATAAAATGCTGTCAAATCCTGAATGTTTGTTCTTCTAGATTGTAGCAATATCAGAAGCAGCGTTTGACTCTGCTGAGCAGCCTCACACCTCTGAACAAGATTCTTCAAATCCTTTGAGATGGAAATCTTTCAACATGCGATCTGTTGTTGGTGCTACAGAAGATCTTCTCTTATTTATACTATCTGAAAATGGTTTGAGGATACGTATGCATCTCACGAGGGATATACTTCAAGCAGTGGATGCATTCTTGCAGGATGCAGTGGCTGATCAGAACTCTTACGGAGACTTCATTGAGAGGAAGACATCTGAGGTAACTGTTGATTCTTAACCTCTCTTCACTTGTTTTATGAATTAGGATGTCACAGAAAGTCGGAACGTGTTGGTGGTGTTGTACTTGTACCTTCCTGTTACTAGTTACAATCTGTACTCCATATGAAAGGCTTAATTTTCTGGTAATTGATCAGTTTGGAGAATGATTGTCATTTGTTACTTTTGATAAAAGGTGATAATGCTTAATTTTGCAATGGATTGATAAAAATTGACTTAGTTTTTTTATTATCAGTTGACTGTATTATCTCTCTTGGTCACTTATTTTTGTTTCTAGTTAATGTATTCTTTGGATATATGGTTGTCTTTTGAATTTCTTCCTTTTGTTGATGTCATTTTAACCTCATTTCACTTCATCATATAAGGGCACAGGCTTCAAATTGTGCTCTTAGGAAGATAAAATCTTGGATCATGTAACCAATCCCATCTTTAAGATTAGGGTTTTGATTGTTGTTATAGAAGTGAAAGTGCAAGAAGATTTGGGGGGAGAGCCAATGGCTTCCCCTTTTTTCCGCCACACACACACACCCCTCTCCAAAAAAAAAAAAAGAAATTTCTCTCTTTTAAAAGGATTTAATGACGAAAAATCTTGGGTTTAAGTCAATCTTTGCATTGTTTTTTTTGGTGAAATTTTTTTTGCTATCTTATTTGGGATTAAATGAGATAGAAATTGATTTTTCAAGTAGTTTTGTGTCCTTGAAGTGTAGTAATTTGTACAAGGGGATTATATGGTTCATGTTGGAAGGAATATAATGTTTCTGTTAAACTTGTCCCTTTTTTCGACCTTATTTTATTTATGGTTTGCCTGCTTTCGACCTTTTATGTTATATCAGGAACACTCAAGAAGTAGAAGGGTGGCGAACGGCTTTCACTATTTTTGGCAGGCAGTGAAGAAGTCCCCAGAAGCATGGATTTCAATGCTAGCTCGCATGTCAATAAAACCAGAGTTCCACAACTTCATTTTAGACATAGCTTCAGTCTTGATGCAGCATTCTAGCCGTAAAGTTCCTGAGACAACCTGGATACTTTTTTCTAAATCACTTCACAATTTTGTAGATAGCTCAAAGTCTAACAACCTATGAGATGGCAAGTTATATAGCTAGAGGGCCTTGGTTCTAACATGTAAGGGCCTTAGTAAAATAAGGGTGTAATGTATATAACACTGTCAAAATTTACTTTGTCTGATGTCAATTCTGTAGTTGTATTTTCATTGTTTTTTTTTTTTTTTTGAAGCATATTTTCATTGTATTTGATGTGCTGGTATAGTTCTAATTTTTTTAAAGTCTTTATTGATAGGCATTTTTTTGAAAATATATATATATATATAGGTAGGAAGTTTGAATGTTTGTTATCTATTACATACTGCTAAAAGCAAATGTAAAGGGACACTGGCAATGTATTATTAATATATATTTTTTTTTGGTGCCAAAATTACTTTTTAAAAGTCATTGTTATATAAAAACAAGGTTTGTATCTAGATTATGAGTTATTTAATTTAAAGTAAATTTGCTAAAATATTAATTTGCACATTATAAGGTTATAAATATTTAAATATTTTTCTCACATGTTTATTTGTTTTAATATAATTTATGCGTTTTAATACCTTGTTAGTTGATTCATTATTTATTATATAATTATATATTTATTATAATTATTTAACAATTGCACATTACATGAGGTTTACTCTAGTTCTGTATACGAGTAGAATTGTATTATTCTTTAATCAACATAAGGATTGGTAACATAGATATTTGAAGTTGATTGTTGAAATAAATAAAACCATTTAGAAATAATAAAAATAATGAAGAAGCAAAATACTACTATGTTTGCACCATCTATAATGGCAATTGTAACTAATTAATATAAAAAAGAAAAAAAAATTGAACTTTATAATGGAAATCGGGCATGTTATTATTAACATATTATCACTTGAATTATTAACATATAATTGATCTACAGTTTTTTTCATGTAGTGCGTTGATTTAACACAAACTTTATCTTTTAGAAATGCCCACACATCTTTTATCCATTTAGAGAAATACAAGAATTATAAATTTATAATTATGAGTATCACTATTTTCCTTATCATTATTGCAAGTGCATAAATATCCAAACAACATAACTTACATAAATAATTAAAAACAATTTATTAGTAATTAGGAATTACTCAAATCATATACGCAAGTACATGTGAAATTATGAATTGAAAATTGGGTCTGGACCGCACCTGTCACGGGAGAATGCAAATCCACCACTCTACAAGACCAAGGAGGTTCCACCTCAAAACTATATGGCGATGAGGGGAGTAACCCCTTAGCCTTATATTGTGGTAGAAACTCTTGAATTCTTTCAATGTAGGATTGCATTACCACTACACTCCCCCTTTAGTGTTTTAGTGTGGGGCAAGAGAATGCTCACATGTGGGTTGTTCCTGGGCTGAACAGTAACTACTCTAACTTTCAAAATTATATATCATTAAAATACCATCAAAATCGTGATTGTTAGCATAGAGGGATGATGGTACACTTTGATCTCCCAGGGAATCTTCGTCTTCGTGTTTGGCATCGTTAGAGTTGAAGTAATTCCCATACAAAAAGGTTAGGATGACACAAGTCGATAACACAACAAGAAAACGAGTTGTCGATTGAAATCGATACAAATGATAAGCAATACAAAGTGAGGCTGCCATGACGAACTTGAAATAACCATAGTCTGGAACTGGCTCACCAATATACAATCCTCGAATCCTATTCATTTCTGCCCCACAAAAACTCAAAATAGGGAAACACAATATTCCAATGAATTTCGTTACACTAGTAACTTCGGTTGTCGGCTTAGAGGTATAGAGACTTATGAACTGCAACCCAAAGTAAAGAAACATAAAATTTCTACCGCTGACTTGACAATCCATCATCCATTTTAAATTAGACTTGAACGTCATGAACACCATATACACGACCACATAAAACAGAATGTTGATTCCGGCGATAATGCAACCATGTGTGTAGCTCATCCCGCCGACCACGACAACATGTTTGTCTTCTAAATCTAAAAGTGGAATCATTATATCAAGTAAGGAAAACATACTTCCTACCAAAGATACAATAAGTAGAATCAAGAGGACAATGATTTTTATATGTACAGACTTAGTTTGCCATCTATTCATTTTCGTTCTTGATTCTTTTCATATATTTTTGGTTTTGTGAAGGGAATTAATACATATATAATGATGCGATGGAAGATGTTGAATGACGATTAATTCAAAGTTAGCTACTGGTTGTTGTAAGTGGTTTTAATTACTCTATGCGTTAAGATAGGAATAGGATGTTCCAATTTTTAAGTTTTGTTTGTTAAGTTGTTTGCTGCGTATTCTCACTAGGAACAAAACCATGCCAATAATCTCTTAACTAATACTAAAACAAAATATGCTAACATCATTTTTCTCTAAAATTATACACATATCGTTTTTACATCTGATTCAAATTTGTATATACAATGTAATGCAAAAGAACATAAGTTACAAAAAAAAAATTAGCATTGCACGGGGATAACCTAGTAATTACTATAGTCATGATTCGTGAATGAAAATAGCAATTTATATTGTATAATTAGACCTCATGTTGGTATAGTAATTAATTCAATATAAGGTCCAGAAATGCCAACAATTTTATTGATATATTTATACGAAGTATATGTTGTTGGTACAATTACATACCAATATACCACCAACGAACCCTAATAGTTACGGATGAAAACAACCTCCTTTGTAGTGCTATTTTTCTTATAATATTTTTTCTAATTACTCTTTTTTATTAATAGGGCTGCAAACGATCCGAGTCGAGTCGAGTTTTAGTCTGTTCGAGCTAAGCTTGATAAGAATTATTCGTGTTCGAACCATCTCGAGCTTGAACGAGCTTTTAAAAATCTTGTTCGAGCTAGGCTCGTTAAGAATTTGGCTTGTTCGAGCTTTGTTCACAAACGTACTCGTTTTCATTTCGAGCTTGAACGGGTCTAAATCGGGTTGGTTAAATAAACGAGCCTTAATTTATCATTTAAAAAATGGTTTCTTTCCATTAACACATCCATTTAATTTTATATAAGATGTTTATATTCTTTTTATAAAAAAGGTAATGACGGAGTTTTCATGCTTTTACCTGATGAAATAATTAATACTTTTTACAAATATGTATGAATAAAAGATAAATAAATTTTTCAAATTTTAATTGGGCGTGAAAAAACTTATAAATTGACTTAAACAATCTGTTCATGAACATCACTGAGTCGAACTTGTTGTTCGAGCTTTGTTCATTTATTTGACGAGTTTAAGATTTTTGTTCAAGCTTGTTTGTTCGCTTAACAAACGAGTTTTAACCAAGCTTTGACCGAGCTTGTTTGCGAATAGTTCACAAACGTATCGGCTCATTTACACTCCTATTTATTATTACTCATGTTATTTTTTTTTTGAGAGAATTACTCATGTTATTTTCGGTTTGACAATATATACAGAAAGATTGATTTAGTGTTCTCTTTACTTAATCATTGAACGAAATAGGCTTTTTTTTTTTTTTTTTTTTTTTTTTGAGGAAAGGTTTATTTAAATTTAATGACGTCAAATTTGTATGCTAAGTTTGACCTATTCAAATAATAACAATGAACTATTATGGGTACAGTTTCAAATGACTACAATAAAATTGTGGCCATTGTAACTGAGTAAATCTCAACCCTCCAATTAACAAAATTCATCACATCCATCTATTGAGGGTCTGTTCACATTTACTGAAATGAGTTGAACTGAACTGATTAGAGCTGAACTAAACTAATTGGTAATAAAATCCTACATTGAAAGAATTCAAGAGTTACCACCACAATATAAGGCTAAGGGGCTACTCCCCTCATTGTCATATGGTTTTGAGGTGGAACCTCCTTGGTCTTGTAAAAGTGGTGAACTTGCACTCTCCCATGATGGGTGCGACCCAGACCCGTATTCGGGGTGCACCACCGACCAACCTTGATCTTCTGAGAAGGGTTCGAGTGAGAGCATACCTGTCGGGACCCGAAAGATGGTGAACTATGCCTGAGCGGGGCGAAGTCAGAAGAAACTCTGGTGGAGGCCCGAAGCGATACTGACGTGCAAATCGTTCGTCTGACTTGGGTATAGGGGCGAAAGACTAATCGAACCGTCTAGTAGCTGGTTCCCTCCAAAGTTTCCCTCAGGATAGCTGGAGCTCAACAGAGTTGAACTAAACTGAAATGAATATTTAATGAGAGAGGGAAATCAGGAGCTGAACTGAAATGAACTGATTGGAGCTGAAGAGCTGAACTGATTAGAGCTGAACTGAACTGAAATTAAGTAAATGTGAACAAGCCCTTAGTTGACTTTAAAATACACCTATTAAAAAAAATAAAAATAAAAACTAAATAAAATAACAAAATTTCATCTTTTTTAATATTGGAAAATTTAGTTGAAGGATTAAACTTATACAGAGTAGTGATCTATCTTAATTGATGTTTTCATGGATTTATTAGCTTTAACGTCAAATGATTGGTTTCTTGAAAATTAGAGACAAATCTCACAATTTTTATATCTTTATCTTCATTTTTTTTCCTCCCTTTTTTCTTAGGGAGTATTTTCAATTATGGAGGGTGATTCAATTTTTATATATATATTTGATACAAATTAAGTTATTGTTAATAAACCAAAAGCAAATGTTGGTTTTTAATGGAGATTGGAGAGTCGTCAATGGCAAGGGGCAAAGACGTTGCAGCTTTTTGGTTTTAGAAACTGAAATACAGTTTGTTTTAATCATAATCAAGAAGACTTTTTTTTTTTCATTGATAAAAATTGAAGTCAACTGAATGAACGGGCAAGATTGATCATTGAAAATATAGGGTCAAGATTAAAACTAATTACAATAGCCACAATTTTATGATGTAAATCTCCTTTTTAAAAAAAAAAAAAAAATAGAAAAAAAAAAGAAAAACTCATCTTATATAAGTTATATTATTTCTAACTTCCAAAATTTTAATTCTCAACAAATATGAATAATATTCCACTATAGTAATGCTAATAGTTGGCTTGAAAAATGTTTTAATTTGGTTCAAAAACTTTCTTTCAACCAATAATTTAAAATTAAGATATTATTCCTTAATTTTAGCAACAATAATATTTGTTGCATCTTGTGTTACCATACTTGAGATTTTAGTGGATAAAGCAAAACCCGAAAATCCACTAAAAATAGATACATTATTATTATGCAAAGCTTACCTACAAAATGATAAACTACAAATGAATTATAATTATGAGTATCACTATTTTCCTCATCATTATTGCAAGTGCATAAATATTCGAACAACACAAACGCTAAAAAGATAAATTTCTAAAGCTAATAATTTACAAAAATAATTAAATATTTTTTTATTAGTAATACTCGTAATGTATATGCAAAGGAATTACTCAAATCATATAGGCAAGTACATATGATATTA